ATGTTATTACCAATGTGAAAACACACTTTTATGTGCTTTTAATATCTTCTTTCTTCTTGCCATTTAGGTTGCCTGTACAAAGTGAGAATTCCGAGATATACAGAAAAGCATTTGAAAAGGTACTTTAAAATACAGTGTAAAATGATGATGATGATGCCTAAACAAAATTGCTTAGCCCATGTTAAATGAAGGCACCAGGACACAAAAGTGTACTTAATGATGATTGGGTCTCTGAGACTATATGCATATGGATATGGCTGGAGGAAGGGTACTTAGAAAACAAAACCAGCTCATTTATTAGGATGATACAATTACCTTGTCCAGTGCCTGGAATCAAATAGACGTTTAATAAATATTTGTTGAATGAGAAAATTTCATATTCCACACAACTGTGAATATTGATCTCCCTTTGTTAGATAATATTCAGAGATGATGATACCACCTCTTTGACATAATTTTGTTGTTTTACTTATTTTTTCCCCTTTACTTAATGCAATCCCATCTCCACCAAAGAAATTGGTGTCCATCAGAAAAGCTTGCGGAGTCTGTGAGTATAGGGCTTAGTACACAGAACCAGATAAAGGTCACTTATGCATTTCTGATACCTAATGCCAGGAGAAGCATTTGCAGATAAGCAGGGGACCTGCTTTTTATTCATTAATTGGCAGACTGTCCTTTGGAAAAATAACCCTTAGGGTCTCAGCTGACAGATCTGTGACTGGGATTAGACAGAAGACCTCCTACAGGCCTTGTAGTGCCTTGAATGGTAAATGTCAAGATAAAACATACTGGGGCAATGAAGAAGAGCTCTCCAAAGGGTTAATATTCGAAAACTTTATTTTCTCAAATGAGCACCAACACAGATTGGAAATATGACAGAAACAATGCACTTTTCTCTAGTATTGAATCACTATGTACAAATACAGGAAAAGGTGAAGACAAATTATTTGAAAACAATTACCTTTGTTATTGAAGCAAAGTGACCTGAAAAATGCCACCAAAGGAAACAAAAACAAGACAAAACAAAAAACCCAAACCCAACAAATACAGTTTGTAAACACAAGCATAAACAGACAGATTCTGTATTGAAAGATAGTCTCTGCAGGTTGGGGTAAGGGGACCAACTCCCACTTTCACCAAAATGTTATACAAAAACATGTGGGCAGACAGAATTTGGTAATATGAGAATAGCTTGTTTCTTCTTGGCTTTATCTTTTATTGCCAGTAGTTTTCACGACTATTTTAATTTAAGAAAATTAAACATCTCTTTCTTCTATCTAGACAACAGGGTGTTTTTTTCTCATTTTTTTCTCATTTTCTCATCAGGCAGATTCTTTTAAAATGTGTAAGTTGATTGTGTTCAGGATTTGATTTCCCAGACTCTTTCTGAACCTGAGGCAATCTGACCTTTAAAAAAAAAAAAGCTGTTTACCTATGAGATAGGTATATTATCTTATTATTGTTCTCTTAACCCAAACCAGTTAATGTTTAACATGACGTGGCTTCTAAAACAACTGGAGCCCTGGGATATGTGATTCATACACTTGCGTCTCGGTGAGAAGCACAGATGTCACTCTGCTTGATCTTCACAAACAACAGATTTCCTTTACAGTCTGTAAAAGTTGAGCACACAAAGCAAGAAAAAGGAGCAAACCAGCAGCAGCTCCATGCTCAGGAAGACAAAATCCTCGTGGTTTGTGCTGTTGGTCCACTCAGAAACAAAAACAACCAGAGAGAAAGAGAAGAAAAACTTTATGCGTCCGAGGTGTAAACTGTAGTTATAGTGTCCCCAATAAAAAAGAAAACAGGAGGCACGATCCAAAGTGCTTTTATACACACACACACACACACACACACACACATACACACACAAATTAAAAACATGACTCCAATTTGTTGGAACTTCTTCCAACAAGAGGAATCACTCTAAGTTGTTACTACTAAATTAACTTGGTTTTATTTCTTTTCTTTTCTAGTCAATACTGGTGCAAGATATTTCCATTCTCAACCTGGTAAAGTACTGCAGAGTCTGTTCCACTGGGAAAAAAACGCAGACAGGCATTGCTTTAAAGCCTTGATCCAGATTAAAGTGATAGAGACCTTTAAAAAGAAAAGTATATCGGTGATCACTGTTTCCCTTAAAATACACTTCAAGAAATGCAGAGGAAACCACAGAATTTAAAATGAAAATAAAAAGTGCTCTCAGGGGATCTGAGAAAACAGCACCAAATATATTATTTAAAAAATTAAATATTATTTACAAAAGTATATTTCACAAGCCATTGTTTTTTTTTTTTAAATATATATCCACTTGAAAATCTTTTTATAAAGGGGACACTTCTTTTGCACACACTGACCCACCAGTAAAGATTTCCTCTATCCTATCTTTGTGATCTTAATGTCACAGGAGTTGGGGCAGAACTCAGTCAGGCCCAGCTGACAACCTGTGGGTATCAAGTCTGGCTATTCTTGATTAACATCAAATCCACCCATCAGCAGCCTGAGACTAACATCCTGAGGGGTCTGGGTATACTCCAGGGTGGCCAGGGGCATATGACCCAGAGTGGCACAGGGAAGATGAAACTAGAGTCTGCCAGCTGGACTTCGGTTCAAAATGAAGGCAGCTGCTGGCTGAGGTACGGAACTTCATGCCTTTCCCTGTCTCACGTCTCCCTTTCCGGTTCTCTACTCCCTGCACGCCCCCTCCAAACTCTACCAACAAACTCCAATTCCCTGAACCTACCTGGGGGGAATGGATGAGGTCTTTGGTTATACTCTAAGTCGATAATTTGGTGAGAAAATTAAAGAGTGAACTAACTGAGGCCATGAGTTAATTTAGCGCCTCCATCACTCAGCTGTGGCCTCTCTAATACTGCTAAATTTTAGATAGACAAGCCATGAACAGAGCTAAAGTTATAAGAAGCACTTTTGGTTTCATTGACACAAAGGGAAAGCCTAATGAGTTTTTTTTTTCCTCGTAGTATGGAAAAACCAACACTCTACTCAGATCTCTCGCACCAGGTACGGTGCCATGCACCCACTGGATGCTCAGCGGGAAGTAACTGACAAAAACCGGAACCAGGGTCTGACTGGAGGCTGCTCTGATCCATGCAACCGTCACAGGCCTCATCCCCAAGGAAGACCAGTGGCACATTGGTCTCTTTCTCTGTCCCTTGAAAATGCCAGGGCACCCCACGTCTGGTTTCTGTGTGTCACCACATTCCATTTTTAGTTTTAAAAACAAAACACCTACCCCTGTTTAACCCCCATTTTCTTTTTATGGAAATGATTATGAATAAACAGTCAGGACATTCCCTGAGCAAAGGGTCTAATCAAAATCCATAAACAAAGACCGCTTCCTTTAGGAGGGGAAGGAAGAGAGGGGAAAATCCATGATTTCTGCCCTGGCAAGCCAGCTTAGGAATGTGAAAGTTGGAAAATGTTTTGCTTTTTTTATTGAGAGCTTGGGCCTAGGAGCCAGAGGAACTGTTTCTCTGGGAGCAGAAATTAAACACTTCTTCTGAACCTCAGTCTGCCTTACAGAGAAGTGGGGAGAACAACTTACTGTCCGAGGGCTACTAAAGCAGTAGAAAGACCTGGACAAGAAGGCTTGGGGAGCAAAATTCAATTTCTGAGAATGCACATGTCTTACAGAGGTGCTCTACTGCTAACCCTGGAGCTACCTCACTTTCTGTCAAGCCTGTGGTCGGCCACCGGCAGAGCATAACCACGCCTGTTACGGGTTTCCCACTCCGCCATCAGCACATGGAGATACACAGAGGCATTTCCACCATGGACTCTCCCTATGCAAATTTGGTTCTGATATAGATGTAATTCTGCAAATGCCCTGGGTTGTCTGTTTTAATCTTGGTTAATAAATTTTACAGATTATTATCTCCATGCACTCACTCTTTTGTGAGATTTTTAAGGTGAATTTTCCTATCGGATCAGCCTATTTGGAGAATGAGATGCTGAGAGCTACCTAACACAATGTATCTTAACAATAATATTTTCAGTCTAAGAAATGAAATTAACTCAGTTAAATGAGTTTCAGTCATGCACTTTATACTGGCTGAATTGCTGCAGAACAGACTTCACAGTGTTGATTAAATGCAACAAACTCCTTTTTCTCTCAGGAGCCTTATAGGGGTTTAGTCTCCATTTCCTTAATGTAATGAAGTTTGGATGGGTGGGGGGAGTAATATTGGAATTCATAACCCTCCCCCACTGCTGGACCACACCGACAGGAGATTTCTCTCCACACAAGGTCCAAGGGAAACAACTAGGCCATGAGGAATCCACCAGCAGGGTTACCACTAAGCTCAGAGCCGTGGGTGTCTGTTTTCCACAGTCTACGATGATAGAACTGGAGAAAACCACTCCATGAACAAAGCTGATCCCACTGAAGCCACTGGACATCCAAAGAGGAAAGATGCACCTAACCTGTATTAGTTCCAAATCTAGAGTATTCTTGGGATTGCCCCTACCCAACCCCCTTCCCTGGCCACATTGCTTTTATTAAGGGTCAGAAAAAAGGTCAGTCAGAATTGCTAACTGATTCTACTTTATATTTTTCTGGCTCAATATCTGAGCCATTTCTTCAGGAGCTTCCAAACTGAAGCCCCCCTTCACTCCCTGCTCTCCCCATTTACTGATTTTACCTGGTTAGTGGGCAAAGCCTTTGGGATATTTGGATCTTGTGCCCATTGCAAATGGCAGTCCCCTCTCCTGTTACCTACGGGGCGTCTAAAGAGGCAAAAAAGATGATTGCCCAGAGGCTGAGTGAGGCATCAGAGTCATCGAAACCCACTTGGCCTTTTCTCAAGTCACTCACTGCTGCCAGGACACTCCCCAATTCGGCCCAGGAGAACCAGGCTCTTGCCCTGCCAACTAGAATTAGGGCTACTTCTTGTGCTCATTTGCTAACCTGGCACATTTGGTGTCAGGGACAGAAGCTTCTGATCAGAGAGAATGCAGTCATGAGGTATTTTTTTTTTCTCTTTGTCCTTTTAGACAAGTCGATTATTTCAAGCCTAAGTTATCAGGTCTCCAGGAGCAGATGAATTCTGTTCCTACTGCCACCCTCCCGCCCCCTAACCATCCCAGGACCCTCAGGGTGCCCCTTTTCCCTCTTCCTCTCCCCCCATGCCACTGCTCTCCCGACAAGAGGCCATCAGGCAGCTCTTGCATGGGCCCCGGGGCCTTCGTCAAGGTGGGCTGCCGCCATGCGGTCAAGGATCTGTTCCTTTCGTTGTTTTGTTTTCAGCCAACACTAGAACAGAGAGAGAAGCCAGGATCAACTCACAAACAGATACAAAGCAAAGAGACAGAGAGACAGTGATTTAGAGGCCGGTCACCAGAAAGATGGTGTCAGGGTGGGAGGATGCCCCAGATGGCAAGGCCCCTAAATGGATGGAACCAAGTGTTCAGTCACTCTCTCACGCTTGGGTAGAATGTTCGGTTGGATAGCGTTCACGTGGACACTGGGGTGGGCGGATGCTGTGCGATCAGTCCCAGCCATTGTCCTTGATCATGTGTGCTAGTTCAATGATGTATTTGCCTTCTTTATATTTCTGGCTGCTTTCAAATGCATGTTCCTAGGAAACACAGACAAAGAGAAAATACGTTAAATGACCAAAGATAAGAAAGTGTCTTTTGCAGCACAGAAGCAGCGGTGCTGCACATGGCAGGCGTGAGGACCAGTGAGGATGGCCCCAGCTTCACCCGGGCTCACTGGGAGAATTCCTACCTCTAGAGTACCCTCTGCTCCCTTCACTGCGCTGCAGAACTGAGTCAACACCAGGACTTTCTCAACATTACGACAGAATTTCTTCAGGATCCTTGCTCTTAAGGCATTGCTCAAATGTCATTTCAGTAAGGTCTTTCCCAACGACTCTACTTAAAATCCCAGCTTCTACCCCAGCACTGTGACCCTCTCTCCTCCTCACTCCTGCTTTATTTTTCTCCACAGAACTTATCACTTTCCAACATACATTATAATTTGCATTTATATTTCATTTATTGTCTGTTTCCCGTGACTACACAATATAAACTTCGTGGAAGACAAAGATTTTCGTGTTTAGTTGATAGCTGTATCCCTAGGAGACTGGTGAATGAACAAGTACAATGGTGTGTGTGTTTGTGTGTGTGTGTGTATTTACCATATATATGTGGGTAAATCTTAGGGGACCCTGATTTCTGGTGCTAACAGAAGTTTGCTCTATGGATATATCCATAAAGTTTCTGTGTCATTCCTGCTAGTTTCTAGGAATACAGGAAAGTCTGGCCATCATTTTAAAATTGTACTTCTTAGGCTTAGAGAAAAGACACTTACTGAGAGAAGCAAAGTATTGTAAGACCAAACAGGTTTCCTATTTAGTTTTTCTTGATGTTTCTATGTCAGATGTGCAGGGACAGGAGCTGTATAAACTCCAGGCTAGAGACCCTGGCAGCCCTTAAGCCCCACCCAGCTGCCAGGCCTCCAGGGGGAAAACTCAATACAAACCACCTGGCAGGTTACTTTTCTAAACTCACAGCACTGTGGGCTTCTCCCAGCTAATAAACCCCACAGAACGAAGTCCTGCATAGGTCTGGAATAAAGGGATGTTTTATTTGCAGAGATAGATGCACAAGAATATCTTGGTGTATTATCTGAAAAACTGGTCACCCGAGTATGTGCCTACGATTGCTGCGCAGAAGCGGTGACGTCAGCTCTTCCTCCGAATTAGTACTGTAAATCCTACAGTCAGTAGGTTCCAAGCAGCATTTGTATGTGCTGCATCTGCTGCCCACAGCTTGGGGGCTTTGGGTTTCAGAACAAGAGTTCAGATGTGGGTCCTTGCTGAGAGAGGAATCGGTCCACAAAGTGGAGAAGGGAGAGGAGAGGGGAGCCAAGAGAGAATCGAGAATAGAACGTGCAGACACGCCACACACG